AACTTTGGGGTAAAAAATAATACTTCGTATTCCTCGAAAGAATTCAATATGTGGAAAATTGTAAGCAATAATATTCATATGGTACAAGAAACTTGTAAACATAGCTTCTTTACCCATCCACGCTATATTTTTCCAACAACATATCCAATGTAATTTCAGAGGTGAAGTCTGCGGAGAGTAGGGTGCAAGTAAACCTTACCTCTACCTCATGTAGGTAGTATTGAAACCTTTGCGTTAGCCTCTATGCTTGTTGAGGCGAAATGAACGCAGACCTTAAGTTTCAGCTGCAACACAATGCAGAACAAAAAAGTTACTATAGGATGGTATACGCGTTGGTTCAACGAATGCATGTAAAACTTACGGTTACAAAATTTGTGGATTCGCACCACAAGATCGTCATTTCCCATGCTGTGTTGTTCTTCTTGAATCCTATTTGCAGAGACATCAGCAGAAGAGCTACAGTGATACAATTCGATGAACTGCAATGTAGGTATTTCCGCTACATCATCAGGAATCTCAGAGAGGCAATAACAGTTCTTCAGAACAAGACTCTCAAGCTTAGGGAACTGAATAGAATCGACTATCCAGTGGATAAGATCAGTACCATCCAACAGTAGGAACTTTAGCTGCTGAAAACGTTCGTCAGTTGACTCCCATTCTGATCCTTGGAAAGCATAATCCTTCAGCTTAAGCACCTCAAGTTCCGGTAACATACAGAGTATTGTCATTTGGTTCCATGGAAGTTGGCACCCCCGCAACGTCAACTTCTTGAGGGTTGGCGGGAAAACATCACGTTCTTTAAGTATCCAGGGTTTAATAAAGAAGCACTTGAGTGTTTCAAGTTTTTCCAACAGAACCAGCTTCTTGAGTTTTCGAGACATCTTTTTAGCAGTCAAGTGCTCTTCTTCACTTTCACGAATTCCCAACTTCTTCAGTTTGGGCATGCCTTTGAAGATGCGCCTTTTGATACTACCAAAGGTAATGTAAGAGAGGGTTTGTAGCTTGGTTAATCCCAGATTAGAGCGACTAAACTCACTCGGATGATAAGAAAAGGTTGGCCACCTGGTTAATCCAAGATTAGAGCGACTAGACGTGCCTTGATGATCTTTTTGTTCAGATTGAACATAACGAAAGTAGCAGCATTTCCTGAAATAGAGATGCCTTAATGGTTCAATCTCCCATATCTCTGCCGGCAAACAAATACTAGCCTGGTGACTGTAACGAATTAGTGTCTGAAGATACCTAAGATTGCATATTGATGGAGGGAGCATAGTAAAACTGGCAAGGGCAAGATACCTCAGTGAAAATAGTTGCCATATTTCACATGGTAGATGGTCAAATGGCTGAAAAGATATATCCAAAACTGTTAACCATGTGAAGTTAGTAAAGGTGATAAACGAATCAACCTGAGAACAGGATCCAGGAGTTCCATCTCTTCCAAAACAAAGAAAGGAACTTGCATGAGGAAGTGAAGGTTGATTAAAAATGACCTCTAAATGTGTCGATGAAGCTCTGTTAAAATTGAAAATGATACGATGCTCAAAAGATGCCACGGATGGAGAAAGAACCACATTTGATTTAGTAAAGTAGATTGATCTCTCCTTCCATGCTTCTCGTATGATTAAATCATGCAACAGATCATGAACCTCGCATGTTTTGACTTTGCCACTTGAGGTCCTTTTCTTAACCATAATTAGACTTCTATCTATAAGATCTTTTAGGTATCCCTCAGCAACTTCTTCGAAGTCCATTTCAAATGTGTATTCTAGAAATTCCGCTGCAATCCATAGCTTGATTAGTCTTGAAACACTAATCTCATAGTCTTTTGGAAAAGCTCCCATATACAGGAAGCATGGCTTCAGGTGATGTGGCAAATGTTTATAACTCAACGCAAGTAAGTCCATGCATTCTTCTGTTTCCCGACTCACAATTAAACCAATTTTATGTGCCACGTCTTCCCAACAATTTTCCGTCTTGCTAATCTTGGAACAAAATCCAGCCACCACAACTATTGCTAGTGGTAGTCCTTGACATTTCCCAACAATTTGCTTTGTAGCTTTCTCCAGTTCAAGGGGGCAATTCTCCCTTCCAAACACCTTCAAGTTGAACAACTTCAAGCTCCGGTCCACACTTAGGCACCGCATGTAATGAGGAGGACTGCCTGAGCTAGCATAGATACCAACATTTGCTAGCCGACTAGTAAGTATGACACGGCTTCCATTTTTGTCATCTGGAAAAGATCTTTTCACGACATCCCATGCAGTGGTGTCCCACACATCATCCATTGCAATGAGATATCTCCTTCCTTTCAAACTTCTGTAAACTTGTTCTGCCAATTGCTCAGTACTTTTTAGGTAAGTGTAGTCATTGACCAGTGAAAAACACCGCAAGATGCCCAACAACATTTCTCTATGTTGATGCATTTGAGATACAGTAATCCAAGCACGAACGTAGAAGTGATGCTCCATGTAAATATCATCATAAACTTTTCTAGCAAGAGTCGTTTTGCCAATCCCTCCCATACCAACAATTGAGACGACATCTAGCTTTGAAGGAGGCCCTATAAGCCGAGATTTGACAGTCATTAAGTCATTATCAAGGTCTAATACAGTAGCTTGGAGATGGGGACTGCATTCTGAATCACTCTCCACGGTATCCCGTGTTGGTAGAGCATCATTTTCATTTCGAGCATTCATAACCTTCATCAAATATGCCTTTATGCTATTGGAACCTTCAGTCACTACCTCGTTCTGGAACTCTTCCCAACTTCTCGGATAGAAACCAGTTCTACTCTTTTTCAATTTATATAAGTCGATACTACCTAGAAGTTCAGTTGCCATACATTTAACCTGCTTTTCCAAATGTTCCACTTCTTCTGGAGCATTTTTAATTGACAAAGAGTCCTCCAAAAGTGCATGCCAGGAACTGACTGCTTGACGTAATGCAGGGTAACGAGAATTGTCACCTTTCAGCATTTCCTGCAGTTTTTGTTGAAGAGATACGACAGCAGCATGAGCCATTCCTCTTCTTCCCTCCCGCAGATTGATTTTTTAATTTGAATGAGATTATTCTATGTTGTGCTTAAATTGGCCCTGCAAATATTCCATTTAGACTGATTTTTGTAAGAGAAAACAGAAGGGTAAAGGCAAGAAGGATAAAGAAATAGGAAATTAACTTGCATAAATTTCAGTATATTTATGATGACACAAGCTAAATATTTCCACTGATGTAATTACACACAAGTCCAACGTCCAAATCTGCGATACTGGCATTTACTGTGGACTCTTGATGAGGAAGAGAAGTCGAAAAATCAAACAGCTAAAAGCAAAAGAAGAAAAAAAGAACTTTGTTAACCTGTCATCCGAAACTCACTGGTTTAACTAACTCGAATTCATGCTCAAAATCCTGAACCCACCTTTGGACCCTTAGTGCCACCAAAGGGTGAAGGCTCTATACCAGGAGTTTATCCATTATCAAAACTCACTGGTTTAACTAAATCAGAAATGCTTTTCCAAAAACCAATAACATACTAAAATCAGATTTTCTTTTTAAAAAGAGTACTTAAAGCAAATACGACAGCAACAACAACATACAACGAAACAAAAACACCTAAAGAAAATATTCTCATAAATAGTTTCCAAAGCTTTTTCACAGATCAATTAGCTCTCCAAAGTCAAACCAAAGCCAAATATATAAGATTTCTTCAAAAACATTTCTTAACCAGAACAGAGAAGGTTCACCAAAATCTCAAGTAATCTTATAAGAGTTCAGATTCCGAAGGATGACCGTACTTCTTAAAAAACCAAAACAGCTAGCAACTAATATTATTTTTTCTGATGAGTGCAAGCAACTAAAATTATATCATTTAAAAAAGTCCAACACTCCAGAATAGCAACAGAGAAAACAACAATCAACAACACATAGCTAGTATAATCCCTACCTTCACGGGATAGAGAGGTTGTTATGATAGATAAAGAAAAGAACAGGCAACAACAACATAGCTAGCATAGTCCCTACGTTCGTGGGATAGAGAGGCTGTTCTGATAGACAGAAAAAATAACAATCAACAAAAACATAGATAGTATAGTCCCTACCTTCGTGGGATAGAGAGGTTGTTCCGATAGACAGAGAAAATAACAATCAACAAAACGTAGCTAGTTTAGTCCCTACCTTCGTGACATAGAGAGATTGTTTTGATAGACAGAGAAAATAACAATTAACAACAACATACATAGTATAGTCCCTAGTCCCTACGTTCGTGGGATAGAGAGGTTGTTCTGACAGACGGAGAAAATAACAATCAATTTATATATATTCAGAGTTGTAAATTCAGAACAAACATACCAGTCACTGAGCTGAAAAAGATCACAAATGAAAACACCAAGTGGAAGATGTAATCAAGTAGAATAAAGAAGTACAGGAATTTGTACAAGTGTTAGCAAAGCAAAAGTAATGTTGTAAAGAATATGCATCAAGAGGAATGGGAATAAGATGAAAACAAATGATCAATAATTGATCTTTCACTTTCAACTTGTCAATTTTTAAGCAACCCCACACAATATAAAATCTTCTCATCTGTTTGACTTGAGCAACACCATATAATCCTTTCTTATTCTTTTACTTTTGCTTTCTATTCTCCAAAAGGAATCTACATTTTCATCTGAAAAAAGGTTTTATTTTATTTTTAATAATTAACATCTATTTTAATTTCTGTTTTTTACTACATGATGCTAAAAGTTACACTGTAATTACATTATAACAAACATACATATCATTATGACTACTATATTGTGTAATTACTAGGATGTGCAGGTTGATAATTTTTAAGGTGATTTCTAAACACACTCTACATAAGAGGGAGGAAAGAATGTCCATTGCAGAAGAGTTAGGTAATCAGGACAATTAAATCTTTGATTCAAATTGAGGAAGGAGTATGATCTTCAACTTGTATATACATTGTGAAGAGGTCCATCAACAGTCTCCTTATAAATATATTGATGTAGTTTTGCACCGTATAGTGAATATTGATGTAATCATCAAATAGTTGGGACATGGTGAGGATATGAAGTACATAGAAATAGGAAAGTGCAATACTAGAAAGTTTGAGAGCATGTCCAACCCTATCACTAGGATGGAGCTAGAGGGATGTAAGGATTCATTTAAACCCCCTAAGTAATAAAATTACACAATATACAAGGTCATAAAAATATTTCAAATGTTATATGGCAGAGGGTGAACCCCTTGGTGAGAATCCTGTCTCTGCCACTGCACTATCCAGCTAACCTGTTTCATACATGTGCACCATATCAAAGGATGAGTAAAGGCAAAACTGCATGTAAATATGATAAAAAGAACAGTATCCTATCACAAACATAAATACAATGTTAGCATGCAATTTAAGACAGAGATTTCAGATCAAGAAGAAAACATATACTTGCTACCAAACTATCTTAGGGAAGTTGAGAAATTAGACAATGTGCTGCATAACTAGTGATCAACAATATTACCATGAATAGATAATTAGGACAGCATGGAACAGCGAAAAATACAGGGTTAAGATCAGTGCTATCAAACCAATTGCATTGTCACTTAAAAGTGATAAAGCAAAGTGCAACCGTTTGATGGCCCAAACCATGCGCTTAAGATAAAATTGAGCTTCAACGCAGGGTACACAAAGTGATCCTAATAAGTAACTGATGATTCTTTGATTCTCAACTTTATCAACACTGGCCACATAACTGTTTCACAAAACGGTACGTACAAATAGTTGCAACATTTTTCATGTCAATTTGTATACTGGTCAAGGTTTGCATAATTTGACTCTCTAGATGCGAAACATGACAGCTAATATGGGACGGAGGAATTGGCTTTAAGACAAGGACAAATGTGTGATTGGACTCACTCAGCACGTGCACACAAACAAACCGAAAGTTCCATATGAAAATATTATTTCTAAGAGGATTCCAATCCCTGAGAAGGTGTCCCCTTCTGTCAGTCCTAATGATATGCGTGCTGAATGAACAAATTAAATCATTTTAGTATTAGTCAACCAATATAACCAGAGATGGAGTGAGGACTTCCCTTAGGGGAGTCAAAATATAAAGGATACACCGACAAAAAAGTCAAGGAAATTCACCATATGAATAAAAATTTTACTTATCTACACAGAATAACTTTTGAGCAAACCTTGGAGAAGGTGGTTCGACCAATATTCAATACGTAGGCCCACCACTGTATGTACATAGTATCATCCCAAAAAAACCAAGTTGATGAATCATTCCTGGGAAGAGATTCACTTCCCTGGGAGAAAAAAAGGTTTTGTATCATAACTGCGACCTAAATAACTCTTGATATCCTCAGCAGTCACAAAAGAATTAGACGTTTAGAAGTTGAAACCTCTGCATTAGCCTCATTGCTTGTCAAGGCAGCACGCCAAATTTAAAACAAATGCAGGCCTTAGGGTTCAGCTGCAACACAATAAATGTTACTCTACAGTTTATAGACCGCGGATGTGGAAATATACAAAGGTTTAGACTTTAGATAGAGCAAAAACATTATTATGGGATGGTATTAGTTGATTTTGTAGTTTGTGCAAAAGAAAGTTTTATTCAATGCACCAGAGAATTTGATGAATGAATATAACACTCACAGTTTGGGAATTTGTGGATCCGCACCACAAGATCATCATTTCCCATGCTAATTTGTTCTTCTCGAATCCTATTTGCAGAGTCGTCAGCTGAAGAGCTACAGTGATACAATTCAATGAACAGCAGTGTAGGTATTTCCGCTACATCATCAGGAATCTCATACAGGCAACCACAGTTCTTCAGAACAAGATTCTCAAGCTTAGGGAATTGAATAGAACTGGCTTTCCAGTGGATAAGATCAGTCCCATCTAACAGTAGGAATTTTAGCTGTTGAAAACGTTCGTCAGTTGATTCCCATTCTGATCCTTGGAAAGCATAATGCTTGAGCTTGAGCACCTCGAGTTTGGGTAACTTGCACAGTATCGTCATTTGGTCCCATGGAAGTTGGCACCCCCGCAACGTCAATTTCTTGAGGGTTGGTGGGAAAACATCACATTGTTTAGGTAACCATGGTTTGATAAAGAAACCCTTGAATGTTTCAAGGTGCTCCAACAGAACCAGTTTCTTGAGGTTTCCAGACATTTGCTCAGCTGTCAAGCACTCTTCTTCACTTTCACGAATTCCTAACTTCTTCAACTTGTGCATGCGTTTGAGGACGCGTCTTTTTATACTACCAAAGGTAATGTAAGAGATGGTTCGTAGCTTGGTTAATGCAAGATTAGAGTGTCTAGAACTTCCCAGAGAATCTTTTTGTATAGATTGAACAATAGGAAAGTAGCAGCATTTCCTGAAATAGAGATGCCTTAAGTTTTTGATCTCCCATATCTCTGCCGGCAAACAAATACTAGCCTGGTGACTGTATCGAATTAGTGTCTGAAGATACCTAAGATTGCACACTGATGGTGGGAGAACACTAAAACTGGCGAGGGCAAGATACTTCAGTGTAGATAATTTCCATATTTCACAAGGTAAATGGTCAAATGGCTGAAAACATATATCCAATACAGTTAACCATTTGAAGTTAGTAAAGGTGACAAACGAATCAACCTGAGAACAGCATCTAGGAGTTCCATCTCGTCCAAAACAAAGAAAGGAACTTGCACAAGGAAGTAAAGGTTTATCATAGACATGCTTTAAATGTGTTGATGGGGCTCTGTGAAAATTGAAAATGATTCGATGCTCAAAAGATGCCACTGGTGGAGAAAGAATGACATTTGATTTGGTAAAGTAGATTAATCTCTCCTTCCATGCTTCTCGTATGATTAGATCATGCAACAGATCATGAACCTTGCATGTTTTTACTTCGCCACTTGAGGTCAATTTCTTAACCATAATCAGACTTCTATCTATAAGATCTCTTAGGTACCCGTGGGCAACTTCTTCGAAGTCCTTTTCAGGTGTGCGTTTTACGAATTCCGCAGCAATCCATAGCTTCATTAGTTTTGAAACAGTTATCTCAAAGTCTTTTGGAAAAGCTCCCATATACAGGAAGCATGTCTTCAAGTGAAGCGGCAAATGTTTATAACTCAACGCAAGTAAGTCCATGCATTCTTCTGTTTCCCTACTCACAACCAGACCAATTTTATGTGCTACGTCTTCCCAACAGTCTTCCGTCTTGCTAATCTTTGAACAAAATCCCGCCACCACAACTATTGCTAGTGGTAGTCCTTGACATTTCTCGACTATTTGCTTTGTAGCTTTCTCCAGTTCAAGGGGGCAAGTCTCCCTTCCAAACACCTTTAAGTTGAACAACTTCAGGCTCTGGTCCACACTAAGGCACCGCATGTAATGAGGAGGGCTGCCTGAGCTAGCATAGATACCAACATTTGCAAGTCGACTAGTAAGTATGACACGGCTTCCATTTTTCTCATCTGGAAAAGATCTTTTCACAACATCCCATGCATTGGTGTCCCACACGTCATCCATTCCAATGAGATATCTCCTTCCTTTCAAACTTCTGTATACTTGTTCTGCCAATTGCTCAATATTTTTTTGGTAAGTGTTGTCATTAACCAGTGAAAAACACCGCAAAATGCCCAACAACATTTCTCTATGTTGATGCATTTGAGATACAGTAATCCAAGCACGAATGTAGAAGTGATGCTCCATGTAAATATCATCATAAACTTTTCTAGCAAGAGTCGTTTTGCCAATTCCTCCCATGCCAACAATTGAGACGACAGTTAGCTTTGAAGGAGGTCCTATAAGCCGTGATTTGACAGTCATTAAGTCATTATCAAGGTCTAACATAGTAGCTTGGAGATGCGGAATGCATTTTGAATCACTCTCCACGGTATCCTGTGTTGGTAGAGCATCATTATCATTTTGAGCATTCATAACCTTCATCACATATGCCTTTATGCTATCGGAACCTGCAGTCACTACCACTTCCTGGAACACTTTCGAACCTACTGGACTGAAATCAGGTGATCTCTTTTCCAATTCATATAAGTGGATTCCATCTAGAAGTTGAGTTGCCAAATCTTCAACCCACTTCTCCAAATGTTCCACTGCTTCTGGAGCATTTCTAACTGACAGAGAGTCCTCCAAAAAAGCATGCCAGGAACTGACAGCTTCACATAGTCTAGGGTAACGCGAATCGTCTCCTTTCAGCATTTCCTGCAGTTTTTGTTGAAGAGACACGACAGCTGCGTGAGCCATTCCCACTTTTTCCCTCCAACAGATTGTTTTTTTCAGTTTTTATGAGAAATTCTATGTTGTGCTTAAATTGATTCTGCAAATATTCCAATTAGACTAATTTTCGTTAGAGAAAATAAAAAGGAAAAGGGAGAAAAGAAAGATACAGGAGAATTAATTTGCATAAATGTCACTATAATTATAGTGATAAGAGCTAAATATCTCCACTAATGTAATAACACACAAGAGGACTCCAACACTGCGACATTCAAACTACGCTAACTGGGATCAATTTTATTGGCTTTTGAGAAAGAAAAGTTGAGAAATCAAACAAACAACAAAAAGCAAAACAACAACATACCCAGTGTGATCCTATAAGTGAGGTCTGGAGCACAAAAAAAAGTTTTAAAAAGAAAAGGTAAGTTGAAGCAGCCTCATTCTGGCTTCTGAAGCTATACATAACCCCTTGTTGAATATCCCAGTCCTTTTTGTAGCAAATTTGACTAAACATTATAAATATCAGGCAAACACATTATGATGAAGTACCAGTACCACAATTATCCCAGTCTTATTTTTTCTATTCGATTAATTTGAATTTGTACCACGTATAGCATTAGCCCCTTTGATTAGAAAAAAACAAATAGTATTAGAATAAGGAAACATATTTTGATTCTAGGAAACAGCAAGAAAGAAGATATCAATCATTTTGTATATATATTCAGAGGTTGCAAATTCAGAAAAAACATACCTTTAGTTCTCAAAACACCAAGTGGAAGCAGTAATGAAGTGAAATAAGACAGTATACAAGTGTTAGCAGAGCCAAAATAAAAAAAATGATGTGAAGGAGAAACAGTAAGAGAAGTGGGAAAAGAATGAAGTCACTTTCCACACACAATAAAAAAGAAGGAAAGATCACTTTCCAAACTTGTCAATTTCTAGCCATACAATATTAAATATCTCATATTTTTTACTTGAGCAATACTATGCAAGTCTTTCTCCTTTTTCTTTATTGTTTTCTTTCTTTTTTTCTAAAAGAAAATTAAAGGTTCCTTATCTTTGGTAGTAGGGTCAGAATAGTCCTTTTAAGTTTATCAAACGGAGAGCACTTTTGGTTTCCATCAAATATTTATCAAACTCTGATTGAAATGGACCAAAAATAACATAAACTACAAATGGCGTACTTCCAAATGTGAGTTCCCATTAAGTACTTCTCATTTCACTGTTCTAATTAAATTTATCAATTGGAGTTTGGTAAAATATCTGATGAAGAGCAAAAGTGCTCACTTTTGACAAACTTAAAGGACCAAAACTGCTCAAGTGATACTTAAGGGACTATGTTGAATCTACTACCAAAGATAACGGACTATTTACGTTATTTTCTCTAATTACACCTGTACAACCAAACGAGATCCTGGGAATTACACTGTAACTGTATTATGACAAACAGCCATGTCTTTGTAACTACTCCCTCTAGCTTCATTCATGTGGCATCCTATCATTTTTAGTTTGTCCCAATATGAATGTCATCTTTCTATATTTAGAAATAAATCAACTTTAAAATTCTCATTTTACCTATAATGAAAGAATTTTTAGTTATACATATGTCTAAAGCTTCTTTTAGACAATAAGTTCAAAAGTCTTCCATACAAACTTAATTTTCAGGGTTAGTCAAATAATGTCACCTAAATTGAAATAGAGTACTATACTGTGTAATTAATAAGATGTACAGCCTAGTAATTATACAATAATTTCCAAACACACTCTATATAAGATGGGAGAAAAAGATACATTCACAAAGTTGTTAAGGAATAAGGACAATTAAACCTTTACATCAAAGTGAGGAAAGAAAATGATCTTCAGATTGTAAATATATATGGTAAGGAGGTCCATCAGCAGTGTCCCTATAAATTTCCTGATGTTTTACTATTTTCTTCCTCTTTCTTTTTCGTTTTACACCTTGTTGTGAATATTGATGGCATCATCAAAAACATGGGACACAGGGAGAATACAAAATATATTTATAAGAGCAATGACTAGTAAGTTTAAGCCAACCTATCCTCAGGGCAAAGCTAGAGGGATGGAACGGATCCATCCAAACCCATTTTATTGGGGAAGTGCACTGTATATACAGTAGATGATGAACCCCCGCGGATAAAATCCTATCTCCGCCACTGTGCTATCTTTGCTTACTTGCTTCATCCATTTATATCATTTTCTCCTGCAAACATGATGCATGAAAATGATATAAAAGAGAGTTATCATAACATGTTTGATGCAGAAAATGAACCAAATGACCAGGTTGACTTTTCAAAATCAGTAAGACGAGGCCTACTAACCTTCTTGCTAGCAACTTCAGAAGTCGACGCGATTTAGTGACTAAATATCTGGAGGATAGATGACAAGCTTGAACACATTGTCCTTGATATCTCCTTCTTGTTTCTCCTGCTGAATAATCCTGGCAGATGCTGCAGCAGCGGGAGTGGGCCAAAAGAGCTCAATATTCTGGAGGGAAGACACCTCCACTAAACCAAATGGGATTTCATTAAGGCTTGAGCAGTGTTTAAGGAAAACTTGTTGCAGTCTAGGGAAGTGATGTCCTGAAGCATTCCAGTGTTCCAAATTCGTCCTTCCAATATGCAAGACCCGAAGCAGACGGAAGCCTCCATCAAGCGGTTCCCACTGTGTTCCCTTAAAAGCATAGTCTTTGAGTTTCAGCACTTCAAGATTTGGCAGCATACCTAGTGTAGATATATGGCTCCAATCAAGGAAGGTATCTGATAAAGTCAGCTTCTTCAGGTTTGGCGGGAACTTGTACGATTGGGGAAGACCGGGTATTTGACATTGGGATGGGGGGAGAGGAAATGTGTCATTAAGCAGCTTCAGAGTCTCCAGGTTGTCCAATTTGGCAAGATTATCGAACAAGCTTGAGTCTCCATTTGTAGCCACAAGTGTAGCTAACTTCCCACGAATTCCTAACTTCCTTAGACCAGGAGTTCGTGCCAATATATTTTCTTTACAACAATCAGGCAAAACGGTGGAAATGGTCTGGATGTTTCTTCTTACAAATGGATCCGCATTATCCTTCCGCGTTTTGGCTGGAGGACCACGTAAACAGCTCAACCCACTGGTGTACAAGTGCTTGAATTGGGACATTTTCCATATATCCACTTGAATGTCAAGCTCACGTGACTTTGTCCCGACAATTAGTGTCTCAAGGTTCCAAAGTTTGGAGATTGATGCAGGAAGCACCCTGAAATTTCCTGAAAGAGCTATATACCTCAAATGAACTAGCTGCACTATCTCAGTTGGAAACCTTGGAAAATTGATATACTTTAAGTCCAACACCCGTACCAATCTAAATGCTTCATGGAGGAAAGATGTATGTTCACGAAGCAATTCCATTTCTTCCGAGGCAAAACACAAGAAAGAACGGACATTTGGACCAAAAGGCCTTGAAGTTATGAAGTCCAGAAAATGTGAATGCACGCAAAGACGACGATGATATTTGGAAATCGGGCTCAAAGAATGATTCTGAGCAGATTCTTTGAACACCTCCAGGAATTTCTCCTCAGAACCCATTTTTACACTCAAATCTCGCAACATATCATGAATGCGACAAGTCTTAATTCGCCCACTGGCCCTCTTCTTCGCGACTAAAACTAGATTTCTGTCAACAAGATCCTCAAGATATTCTTCTGCTGTATCCTCCAAGCATTCTTGCCCCATTTTCTGTACGAATCCTTCACTAGTCCACAATCTGAGTAATTTCCACACAGGAATTTCAAAGTCTTCAGGGAAGACTCCGAAATAGATGAAGCACACTTTCAAGTGATCAGGTAAATGCTTATAACTCAGTGCTAGAACATCCATGCATTGCTTTGGATCCCTAGCAACATATGAACTAACATCATTAGCAATTTTCTTCCACCAGTCACGTGTTTTTTCTTTCTTTAACAGAAGACCTGAGACTACAACAATTGCAAGCGGTAGCCCATAGCATTTTTTGGCAATTTGTAGTCCAATATCTTCTAGCTCTAAGGGGCAGATTCCTTTGCGGAAAACCTTCTTTGAGAGGAGCTCCCAACTTTCTTCATGAGTCAGAAATCGTAAATGGTGAGGGAGACCTTCAGGGTTAGCATGCAATGCGACCTCTGTGTTTCGAGTTGTTAATAATATTCTGCTTCCGGTAGCTGTCTTTGGGAAAGCCATTTGGAGGTCATCCCAAGCCTCCATTGTCCAAACATCATCAATGACAACAAGGTATCTCTTGCTTCTTAAATGACTAAACAGTTCTCCGGCCAATTTTTCATCGTTCATTTTATACATTTCATCTGTGATGAGACTTAAAGAATCTAAAATTCCAAGAAATACCTCCTTTCTACTATACAGCTGAGACACATAAATCCATGCACGGTTATAGAAGTGGAATTCAATGGAAGAATCAGTATAAACCTTTTTAGCTAAAGTTGTCTTTCCCAGGCCACCCATCCCGACAATCGAGATGATCTCTAACTCCTCTGACCCATTGGTAAGTCGACTACTTATTTTCCTAGCCTCGTCATCAAAGCCCACCACATTTTCTTCTTCCACCATCGGAACTCTCTTTTGTGGTGGACTTCTATGAGAAGACTCTCCACCGTGTAAGCTTTGAATCCCAAACATCTTCTTGTCATAAATCTCCTTCACCTTCACCTTAATCGATTCAATTTCCTTTGCAACATTTCGAAGCTTTGACGAGTGATCAAATACGTGAAAGGCTCGCCTGACAGTGCTCCTAGCCTTTTGCATTGCTGCATTAGTCACGAACGTGTCAATTATATCCTCTGCCTCATAAGCCACAATAGTGATTTGGCTTACCAACTCTCTGACATATTCATACTCACTCCGCTTCTCTCGAGAGTCCTTAAGAAAAGCTTTCATCAAACTAAGCTCTCTGTGAAGAGACTCAACTTCATCCTTAACTCCTGAAAGCAAATCCACATGATAAAGGAGTAGTTGTTTCAAATTTAACAAGAGAAATTCGACAACAGCATCAGCCATCTCTCTCAATAGTGTGCACTCTCCCTGAAGAAATCTGAAAGTGCAAGATGCCCAGAATCAATTTTCAGCTAGAGCACCATTTAAACAGATGTATTCTATTTGTAGGAACACAAATACATAGTAATAGATTCAACACTTGCATATACATACTACGACAACAACAACAACAACAAACTCAGTATAATACGCAGACCTTTTCCTTACCTTGTGATTTTGGCTATTATAATTCAAAAGTTTTCCTCGAAAATCTAAAAACTACATGACTAACTTCCCATATCAATAGTCCAATTACAACAACAACATATCCAGTGAAATTTCATAAGTCGGGTTTGAGGAGAATAGACAGTACGCAGACCTTATCATTTACCCATACCTCGTGAAGGTAAATAGGTTGTTTACAAACCACTCTCCGCTCAAGTGCAGCAAATCAAAGTAATTACGAAAAGGAAAAAATGGAGTAAAAAAAAAAACATGACAATACTTCCTATACCAAAACAATAATTATTTCTCCTACTTACAAGACTCAAAAGTCTAAGAAAATTTTGGTTCTTAATAATTTGAAATATTTCTCTGAAACCATTTTTTAAAAACTTTTTCGCAAAGTTGAACTCCGAAAAATATGTTTGGCCAACGAAAAAAAAGCTCTATTCACTTTTTTCCACTAAAAATTAGTCCAGAAAAATCAAAAACAACTCCAAATTTGTATTCATAGCTAAATTCAACTCCAATTTTAAAATATCATTTTCACTTGCAAAAAAAACTATTTTTTTTCAAATATTCACAATTTTCATGGCCAAAGGCCTCTAAATTTGGGGGAAAAGGGTCCAAATTGCTCAATTTTATCCTTCATTATACCTCTGAAGCTCAGATTATTTCTTTTAATCCCAAAATTGCAAATAAAAATATCCTAAAAGACTATAATTAAAAAGAATGGAAGAATCAGAAGACTTACCAGTTGTTTGGTATTAGAAATGAGTTTTTTTTTTTTCCCAAAAGCAACTTTTTATGAGAAAAAAAAAATAATTGAAGCTCAATATATGGAAAAGCAAGAATTTTTATGAATTCTATTTTTTTTTATAGATTTTTTTAAAATGTTTTTTTCCCAAAAATGCAATGAAAGACTTTTGAGTTCTTTTAAGTCAACTTTAGGGGTTGTTTGGTGAAAAGAGTAGATTTTGAGTTATATCAAAGATCAATAATTAATATCGAGACATTAAAATATTTTTTCAATTCATTTTTATCGATTCCCTATTTCAAAATTAGATTTTTATTTTTATTTATTACTTTTAACGGATTAAGAAAAGATAAATATTTTTTAAATCTAAGATATTATTTAGGATACAACAAATCAAACCGTTAATCAAAAAATAACATTAGAATAACTAACCTTTAGTACAATGTATTTTAAAACCAAACGATGCCATTAGTTTTTTTCAAAAAATAAATAAATTATGGTATGTTATCGTAGATTTAATTAATTTGATAGTTGACCTCAAAAAACCCGAAGTCTTTCATGTTTGTCTACTCTTTTTTTCCCTATCTGGTACACGAG